AAAAAAAAAAAAAAAAAATACAAAACAAAACTATAAAACTAATCCTCTCTTATGTATAGTAACTTTTTTTTTTGGTACCAGGAATCGAACTCAGGACCTTCCACTTGTGAAGCAAGCACAGTGCCACTGAGCTAAATCCTTGGCCTATATTAACTCATGTAAAACCTTATGCAGTTGGTACTATTTTTATACCATACATATTTTACCAAAGAGTAAACTGAGGCACAGTTGGGTCAGATAACTTGCCTAAGGTTTCATACCCTAAGCTGGGATTCAAGCCCAGAAAATGCAGGCTATAAAATTCATACCCTTAATTACTAAACTCCCTAACTCCTACATACAGAAATAATATATGCTCTTTGTAAACATGAAATAACCAAAAACTCCTACTACACTGCAATGATCACTATGCACAGCACTGAAAGAATGTGTTCTTCCAAGACTCTTATGTTGATACAAACATGCTTGATCTTGTGCAGGATCACAACATACAGTACACATATAGAACATAAAACTGTAAACATTCCTTTTAAACTCTTGTTACTCAAGAATACAATTTATGTTACAGCCTTATAGGAGACTGTAAACAAACCTAACTTGTTACTTTAAATAATATAAAATTTTCCTAAGAATGATGCCCTATTATTTATTCAAACCATTCCTAATAAAGGACATTCAGATTATTCCTAGACTTGGGCCACTACAAAAAAACAAAAATAAGTACTGCAATACTGCAATTAGCAAAATTTCCCCCCACCCATTACATATATATGTACTGGTGCTTTTATTTCTAGAAGTCAGAAACTCTAGATTCCTCAAAAACAACACATACTTTTTAATCTCAGCAACTATTGCCAGACTGCTTTCCAAAAAAAGATTGCAATAATCCACAGGACCCTGGAAATTTACAAGAGTAACTGTCTACCTTTACCAGCACATGGTTATTCCTTTTGATTGATGAAAAATGGTTTCCTTTGTCTTGCACTGTTATGGTTATGATTAATGTTAAATACCACTGCTTTTTCCTTCCCTCCACTTGTTCTGGCCATTTGAATTGCTCACCAACTTATTAATAATTAACCTCAACCATCATCTCTTTTGGAATTTAGGTTTTTCTTGTTTATAGGTGTCTTTCATATACTCAGGACATTTTATAGTATTTCCCTCAGAATGTTACATACTCAAATATCTACCTATACCCTCAGTATTTCTCTTTTTAAAATCAAAATTAAATTTATTTTTAACCGATACATTAAAAATGTACATACTGGCTAGGTGTGGTGGTACACACCTGTAATCCCAGCACTAGCTGAGGCAGGATTGCTGTGAGGTCAAGGTCAACCTGGGCTACACAGTGAGTTCAAGACCAGTCTGAACTACAAAGTGAGACCTTGCCTCAAAAAACCAAAAAAACCACAAAAAACAAAACAAACAAACAAACAAAAAACAAACAAAAAGTACCTATTAGCCAGGTGTAGTGGCTCATAGCGATAGTCCCAGCACCTGGGAAGCTGAAGCAGGAAGATCACTGTGACTCTGAGGCCAGCATGAACTACATAGCTAGACCTGTCTCAAAATAAAGTACACATTAATGAGATAACACATGATGTTTCACTGTATGTATATACTGTGTAATGTTTGTTTGTTTATTGTGGTAGCGGAGATGGAACTCAGGCCCTTGCACTTTCCAGGCAGGCGCTGGAACCACTGAGCTAAATCCCTGGCCCTCTACTGTGTAATGTTTAAATAAGATTAAACAAACCCATCTTCTGAATCATCATTTCTTCATGGTGAGGATTTTCAGTATGCTTTAACTTTCTCAAATGTACAGTTCTTCATAATCGACAGTCACTCTAGTATGCAACAACAGCACATGCTTTTTTTTTTTCTTCCTCAGCAACAAGACTTTTCATTGAACATGTGGTTCCAAAAGGACACTGCAGCCTTTTTTGTAGCTGAGTTTGTTCAGGTGACCTAATTCTGGCCAAACACATGAAGCTTTTCTGCAGGTGCTCCTTGACAGACAGTGCATGTATTCCATTTTTTCACTTTCCTATCTCCTCCAACCTGCTGGTTGAAATGCACCATTCTGGACAGCCAGGTCAAGGCCTCACAAAGGAGTCCTGGAAGTTATTATGAATGAGAACGACTCAAGCAGCAGTCCAGCCCTGGGTTATGTACTTAGAAATAAGAATATGTTTGGTCTAAGCCATTATTACCTGGGGGGAAGGGGTTGTAACTTCCAGTCAAATTTAATGCTAATACTGTGACCCTGAATATACAGTGGTACTCATTTCTCAGAAAGTAAAAAATGAAAATGGAAACAAAATATAAGCCTTCTGATCAATTTGAGTAAGTTTTTATTGCTGCAAACTCTTAATTTATATATTTACATACTTTTATATTATAGAAATGTAATATATTCATACAAATTTTAAGTCATACTATTTAACATACTCACTGAGAATTATTGATCTTTACTCATTTCAAGATTACTTTTATCCAAATGCATCACATGCACATTCTACATTTTTGTCTTCATCATAAATAGAGGGTATTTAAGTACCAGGGATCAAACTCAGGAACCTGTTCTTGAGAGGCAGGCAGTGACACCACTGAGCTAAATCCCCAGCCCTAGAGGGACTTTTAAACTATCCCAAACTGTTTGAAATCTCACATATTTTTACATTAGACCATGTTTGGAAAAAGAATTCCTCTTGGGTGTGTATTTATGATCTGTACTAACTACTTATGTAACTGAGAGAATATTCCAAGGAATAAATACTAAATTTGTTTTAAATTTCTTTGCCTCTCTCTGTAAGCCATTCATGTCTAGCAGCCTCCATAGAACCCTAAAATTAAAACAGATTGAAAAATGAGAACCAAGATCTGTCATGTACAGGTACAAGATCCCAGTGATAAACATAACTATACTGTATACTTAAAAAGTACCAATGAACTCAATAATGACAAAAAAGACTGAGATTAAATCTATCTTTTCTATGTAATACTGTTATTCAAAATAGACATTTTCTATAAAATTTGAATACAAGGAACCTCCTTTTGTTCTAAAGAAAAACTCTGGGGGAAATTAGTCTTATGTCCAGGCTACCTGGGAAGGATCAATGATTTTATAATATTAAATCTGCATATCCTTGAGCATTAGGCAGTTTTTTTCATTATCTCAGGTCTTACTTTAATAATCACAGTGAGGTTAATGCTTTTCACCTTACATCCTGTAACTTTCTACTTAAAATTATTCTTAGCTATCTTATGGCATTTGTCAACTGCACTTTTTTCATTTTTCAGTACTTACCAGTTACTCCTAGCACAGGCTTGAGCATCACTAATTCAAACTTTTTGAAAGATCCAAATCTTAAATGGATTTTATGAAGAATACTCAACCCAGACTACTCACACATTCCAAAATCTGAAAGTGAAAACAATTGATTCCAACCACTTTAGAAAAAGGATAATCAATCTGTATAGAAAAAGCTATTGTTCTGTTTTTAACACACACACACACACACACACATACTTAGAAAAATCTCTTATTCTTAGGTCAAATTTATTTTTTCTTTTTCAATATTTAATAAAAAAGTTTTTGTCTTATTGCATTAAAACCAAAACAACCCGGCATGGTGGCCCGTGCCTGTGATCCCAGAACTTGGGAAACTGAGGCAGGAGGATTTCCTCGAGTTCAAGACCAGCCTGGGCTACACAGTAACACCTTGTCTCAATAATAAATAATCAAAAATTTTAAAAACCAAAACAATGTTAAATAATAGTGATAATACTTCAAGATTTTATATTTTTCTAGAAATAATTTTAACAGAAAAGTCCCAATTTCTTCCAGTTTTTCAAAAGTATTGTTACAGAATTTCTTATTTCTTTCACACCTATAACCAATAGACCTTATTTTGTTTCTCTTCTATTTTTTTAATCATTTTGGAGAATAGTATTTGATCTTATTTCTCTACTATTTTTGTCTTCCAAATATTCCATTCAAGAGTTACCACTATTCATTTTTCTTCCTTTTTTTTTCCAGTTTTGTAAATTGAGTATTTCACTCATATATTTTCATTTTCTTATACTAATAAAAGCATCTATAATTACACATTTGGTGACCATACTCTAGTTCTGTTCTATAGATTTTTCCACAAAACTTTACCTTCTCTTTACTTTCTATTTATTGTTATATGATTTATAATTTGTTTTGACTTCTTTTAGTGCACAGACTGTCTCAACTCAAAAGTAGTTTTTAAAAAATATAATTATCTTTTCTTATTACTAATTTCAGTGGGTTAAGATGACAAATTCATATAAAGTAATGTTTATATTTTAGTGTTTTCTATAACAAGTACATGAATAACTTCTGTAAATCCTCCCTATACCTAGGTGAAGAATACGTGTACTCCTTGCTCCATAAATGTATTAAGTATGATGACATAACCTCTATATCTTTACTTTTTTTAATTTCAGAGGTTAAAAATTAGCAGCCTGCAAGCCAGATATATTTTGTTGGGCTGGGAAATTACTTTAAAATGCATGAACCTCAAGGCCTTCAGGCGAGATATGCCCCATCCAATTCACTGTGCCATACCTATCCAGGAGCTGCCTCTGCTCCCTAACTCACAGATTCATGCTACCGAAGCCTCTGTGGGCATCCAAGCAAACAATGTATCTTGCTTGACTGGTCAAATTAGAAAAGGTATCTAGTTAACATCTGGTACAATATGTTTTCAAATGAATTATCTTATTCCTAATTTTTTTCCATATATATTTTGCTTCAGAAAAGTCAAAAGACAGTAAACATATTTTCAGTTTATTAATATATCGCAAACTTCTCTGTCCTATTCAGTGCTTTTGTTCATGCATTTAGCTTTGTCAGATGCTAACGTAACTGATTACTAATCTTTTTTATAAATGAATTTAGACTAAGAATGTTTATTGTGGTACTCTATTTGGCTTTGTTGTTTCCACCTGCTTAAATTTTGTTTTATTGTTTGTTGACTCTTGTTTTTTCTTTTTTCCTTCCTTCACTTCTATTGCTTTGGTATTGTTTCTTTATTCCTTTCTCATTTGTTTAGCCCTCATCATCATCATCATCCTCAATACATTATTTCAGGAATACACCTGAGTATCCCTTATTTGAAATGCTTGGAACCAGGACTATTTCAGATTTCAGGAATTTTTGGATTTTGAAATGTTTTCATAGACATTACAGATTGAGTATACCTAATCCAAAAATCTGAAATATGGAATGCAAAAAAACACTCCAATTTTCTTAGATTAGGGATATGCAAACTATACGTTTTTTCCTGTTTTGAGAGTAATTATCCACCTTTCCTAATAGTAGTAACCAAACTTTTACCAAAGTTAAATTACTGTGCCTCTACATCAACAACAACAAAAAGAGCTTTTTAGAGAAATTTTACAACTGAATGCTTGGATATTCACATCCCTAGTCCTCCATTTTACTGAGATAGCTTAGATTTTTTTTTTCAGTTCCAGGCTATTTCTTGGATTTTCCAAAAGTGGGATTCTTCTCAAAAATCCTCACTTTTCACCTACATTATGAATCCTCAGTCAGTTTAACTTCCTCCATTTATGTATACAAAATATATATATATAATTAATGTAATGTTTTCTGCTGTAAGATTCACTGCTCATCAGTTTCTTACATTCCTCTTCCTCTATCTTCATTTTTTTTTTTTTTGGTACCGGGGATTGAACTCAGGTCCTTGCACTTGCAAGGCAGGCCACCGAACCGCTGAGCTAAATCCCCGGCCCTATCTTCATATTTCTACCAGTATCTAATTGTATGTTTATTTGTTCAAAGAGGTGATGCATAAATCTTTCATATCTAAAATTAACCTCTTGCTTTGATTTACTGATTGATATCTTGGCAGAGTATACAGTATCTGACATTCTTTCTGACCACCTAGCTTTTGATCCTTTTCTGTTTTGGGGGGTTTCTCCCACCCTTACACTAACCTTGGTTGAAGGCAGGGTCTATCTCCCATTAAATACACTAAAATGTAAGCTCTTGGATTCCTCAATGCCTACCCACTTGCAGTTATAAGGTCTCTGACCTTGCCATTATTTACACTTGTCCTAGACTTTGACTTAGAAACCACTATGAAACAAGGAATATGATGGAAAATGCTCACTGGCAGCAATGGTGGCTGCAAGAGAATCATGATCCTAGCAAATACGGTCAAGGTGCTCTCTGTGGATGTCAGTGTCAGCTATGTGTGGCATAAGGCGCACTGTCTATGCCTAGAAACACTCAGCAGGTGTCTTGCCTGGGCTAGTTCTAGGTGAGAGCAACAGCACTGTTGCTCCCTGCACAGCCTCTCAGTTTAGTTCTCTAGCCCTTCAGACGATTCCACATCCTTTAAAAAGCCAGGCACTGTGACCCATAATCTACAGAAGAGTACACGGTGGCCATGACTCTAATCTATGCTTGACATATATCTGGATGCTAAAATAATAATATCACAGACTGTGGCCCGGTGTGGTGATGCACACCTATAATTCAAGGGTGGAGAATTAAAGCCCAACCTGGGCAACTCAGCAAGACTGTCTGAAAAAAAAAAGTATGAGGATATAACTATGTGACTTAGCACAAAGGCCTTATGATTTAATCCCTGATACCAAAAAAATTCTTAAAAATTTGTTTTTCTTCTCAACCAAATAAGCTTTTATTCCCTGCAAGCCAGAACTCAGGTTAATATGGCTGGCTATAGCAGATTTACATAAAAATTCTTTGAGCCACTAGTCCCTACAGACTCTATTCCAGCTTCTAACATCGTGCAGTATATGGGAATCCTTAGTCATCATCATTTTTTTCAAAATTTACCTATCTTCCCCTACTCTCAAAATGAAAAACACTATTTCTTTAGCAATATGGATTTGGTCCTCAGCATCCAAACAAATCCTCACATAGAGGAATAGATAGAGCCCTGGAGTGAATGAACTAGCATCTGGAGCAGCACTTCTGTCTGTCCCCACATCTCTGACAATAACTAGAGGAGAAGTACCCCCAACCCCCAGGAAATAGTCAAAATCATAAACACAGATTTATACATTAGTATTACTTAAAAGAAAAATTCTGGACCTAATAATAGGATTAAATAAATTATGATAATATATACAACATAGTATTACAGAGGTGCTAAGAATATTTGGGAATATTAAATTATATGAACAGATGTTATACACTGTTAATCTGAGAAATGAACTGTAATTTATAATATGGTTTCAACTGTGTAAATGTGTGTGTATATATGCATATACGTGTGTGCATGTGTGTTACAAATACAAAATGGAAGTATGCACAGAAATGTCAACAGTCATTATCTCAGAATGGAAGGATTATGAGTGATTAGACAAAAAATATTAAAAAGCCCACTGAAGCAACTTTACTGGTCCTTTTCTCTTCACAGGATGAATTCCAAATCCATTATGACAGTATCAACCTATAAATTTATGTACCTATCACCCTTGCAAAATGTACCCTGCACTCTGGAAACACCAAAGATCTAATCATTCCTCAAAACTGCTATATTCTTTCACAAATTCATTTCTTGGTAAGTGCTGTTTCTTCCCATCCTTAGCATGTACCTCTTCACCTTTTCAGACTCAGCCCAAGAGCCCTTCCTCCATGAATCTTTCCCAACAACTCAGGAATCAATCATTACTCCTGAGTTCCACATGTCTTTGTATAGGGTGCCACTGCGGAAGCCTCAGCTGAAAAGTGCCACAATAAGTTTACAGACCTTCCTCCCTTTAATAGACTTAAGTAATGGCTTCCCAATCCCACATTCCAATCCCTAACTGCCTGTGAATATGCTACCTGGTATGGCAAAAGGGTTTTGTGGCTGTGCTTGATGATCTTGAGATGGAGAGATTATCCTGGATTATCTTGAAGGCTCAACAAAATCATTAGGTCCTTATATCAGGGAAGCAGGAGAATCAAAGAAAAAGCAGATGTGACAATAGTTGGAGATAGGTACACTAAAGACTGAGAAAGGAGCCACAAGTCAAGGAATGAGTGTGGTTTTCTGAGGCTGGAAAAGGCAAAGAAATGGATTTTTTCCTGAAGCTTCCAGAAGGAATGTGGTGATTTTAGATTTCTAACCTATTGAAATACTACAGAATAAATGTAAGTCTGAAGCCATTAAATCTGGAAATTTGTTACAGCAGCAATAGGAAATCAATATACTCCCTTACTATCTCAGGAGCCCCTTAGGGCAGGCAAAGGAAAGGACTTGGAAGAGAAAGCATTGTTGTCAACATTTGGTGAGAACTAAAATGCTGCCTACATCAAGGAAAATGACTGAAAAGATGTAGGAA